AATCAGTATGCTGAGCAAATACTGAGACATATAAGAAACTGAACTATATGAAGAAAACACAGTATCAGGATTGGAGGAAGACCATTAACAACCTGTGATATGCAGAAAACACAACCTTACTTGCTGAAAGTGAAGATGACTTGAAGCACTTACTGATGAAGATTGAAGACTACAGTCTTCAGTATGGATTACATCTCAACATAAAGAAAACAAAAATCCTCACAACTGGACCAATAAGCAATATCATGATAGACAGAAAAAAGATTGAAGTTGTCAAAGATTTTATTTTACTTGGGTCCACAATCAACTTCCATGGAAGTAGCAGTCAAGAAATCAGACATCATATTGTACTGGGCAAATCTGCTCCAAAGACCTCTTTAAAATGTTGAAGAGAAAAGACGTCACTTTGAAGACTAAGGTGCACCTGACTCAACCCATAGCATTTTCAATTGCTTTATATGCATATGAAAGCTGGAAACAGAATAAGGAAGACCCAAGAAGAGTTGATGCCTTTGAATGGGCAAAAAATACTGAAAATATCATATACTGCCAGAAGAACTAACTAATCTATCCTGGAAGAAGTACAGCTGGTGTGCTCCTTAGAAGTGAGAATGGTCAGATTTTCTCACCTACTTTGGTCATGTTTTCAGAAGGGACCATTATTCCCTGGAGAAGGATATCATGCTTGATAAAGTGGAGGGTCAGAGAAAAAGAGGAAGACCCACAAGAAGATGGACTGACACAGTGGCTGCAATGATGGGCTCAGACATAGCCAACATTGTGAGGATGGTGCAGGACAGGGCAATGCTTCGTTCTGTTGTACATGGGATCTGGGATCACTGTGAATCAGAATCGAGTTCACAGCCCCTAACAACAACAACAACAAGTTTGATGTCTAATCTATTACTAACTCACTCTATTAGTTAAAACTTGTTCTCGTAGAGTTGATTCTGACTTATAGTGACCCTATGTGACAGAGTAGAATTGCCCCACAGGGTTTCCAAGGCTGTAATCTCTGGTAGCCCAGTGACTAAGGCACTTGACTGCTAACCAGAAGGCTGGTGGTTCAAATCCACCAGCCACTCCTCGGAAGGAAGGTTGGGCAATCTACTTCCATAGTGATACTGCCTCAGAAACCCAAGGAGGGGTCGCTATGAGTTGGGTCTGACTCGACGGCACATAACAACAACACAATCTTTATGGAAGCAGACTGCCACATTTTTTTCCTGTGGGATGGCTGGTGGGTTTGAACCAACGATCTCTCTATTAGCAGCTGAGCACTTCATCACTGTGCCACCAGAACTGTTACTTACTAGGGTATCTTTCATGCTCTCTGAACCTCTGCTCCTCTTCTGCAATACAGAGATAATAAAGTATCTCATAAAGTAGTGTAAGAGTTCAATGAAAAAATGCATGCCAGTGCTTAGCATAGTGTGTAACATGCAGTAAGTGCTCAACAAGTGTTGTCTACTAATAGCATAAACATTGATTTTTAAGCTGACTTGTGGAAGAACCCAAGACTTCTCCAAACCCAAGCTTCAACAAAACCAAGCCCACTTAATCAGCAATTCCCTGCTCCTTCCCTTTCTGCATTAGTCATTCTCAGATCTCAGCCCTTTGGGAAGGTACGATGGCTCTGCTTTCACTGTTTGGTAGTTTAGGTTTTGTTTCTTTTTCTTTAAGTCACAAAAAGGCATCCAGGACATCCAAATTCCTTTCCAAAATGTAGTTGCATCTGAGTCTGGAAAATGGAAGAGCAAAGGGAGGTTGGTTCCTTATGTGGAAGAGGGGAAGGAAGGAGTAGTGGAAGTGAGAGGCCAGGGAGGAAGGGCTACCCAGATTTCCCTAGGCCTCAGCATACATACACACACAAACCCCTTGTAGGCTCTTAAGTCCTGACCCTTGGTGGACAACTTCCCCAGATTGGAAGGCCATGGAGATGGGGATGTGGGGAACCCTGAACAAATGAGGTGCTCAAGGCTTGTATAGTCCTTGGTCACAGGTCTAATCCCCTCCTGACCTAGCACATCAAGCTGTGGGTTTCAAATAAAATCCACTGCTGCTGAGATGGACTATCAGGGAGGGGTGTCTACTGAGTGCAGAACCTTCTAGCAACAACTCAGGAACACAGGCATATCCTAGGGGAGTCCTGCCTGGGAGGAAAGCAAACCTGGCCTCTGAGAGGCCCTTTGAACTCAGACATTCTATGAATTAAGGGGCAGCTTGATTTTTGTAAAACAGGGGTTTCTTTGGCCTGTCTTCCTCAGGGGAGCAGATCATACCCTGGGAAAGGTCCATTTCATTCTCTCTTGGAAATAGATGAGGTTACACTGCACCAGGCCACTATCAGATACTTAGCAACACTAGTTGTGGTAGATTGCACTCCCCAATGATGGTTACAATGTATATCCCACCTCATGTTCTCCTTTCAGTATGATGCTGACGCTCCTCCAACGAGAGATGGTAGTAGGGGTAGGGTCTATGTTCTCTCTTCCAAAAGGTAGACCTGTGTATCTGCCTCATTTAAGAAAATGTAATAGAAGGGACACTGCTTGACTTCTGACAGAAGGTCATAAAAGGCAATAGCACCTCCACCTTGCTCTTGCTCTCTTGGGAAGTTTGTCCTTAGAACCCAACCATCATATTATAAGGAAACCCAGGCTACAATTAGATCTGGCCAATAGTCCCAATAAGGTTTCAGCCAACTGCAAGCATCAACCACAAAATTATAGGTGATGATTCCAGCACCCAGCTTTTGAGTTGCCCCAGCTGAGATCCCAGATAGCGTGGGACAGAGACAAACTGTCCTCACTGTGTCCTGTGAATCTGAGTTCCTGACTCACAGAATCTATGAGCATAACAAACATTGTTGTTTGAAGTGACTAAGTTTTGGGGTGGTCTGTTACACACCCATAGTATATACAGCACCACTGGAATTAAATTGGAATCTTTCCTGTTTCCCTCACAATTCTTCTCTTTAAGACTTCAGACTTTCAAGTTATTCCCTCCTCAGCTGATCCCAGCTCCTCTAGACCTGCCTCTCCTTCTCCAACTCTTCTTCCTCCAAAAGGCAGGATCCTCATGCCTGAAGGGATCTTGGCAACCCACTCCCTGAAAGACAGAGTCTTCCTGTTTCAGAGGCCAGAAACCAGTTATTCATCACAGGTCCAAGACTCTTTTCCCTGAGAGGGAGCTTTCTCTGGGTATGGGTATTCCTATGAGGTGCCTGGCTGACCTTAGGGATGAGGAAGGAATCTGCAGACCCATCTCCCCTATATTCTCCTTTCTCATTAAGGTTCATGCTCAGCTTGTTCCTCTCATACTTGACTTGACTTATGAGGTCCCTCTAACCTCCAGTGTAAGGAGACATTGATTCTCACAAAGGTCATTATCTTCTACTATGGTTCCCTCCCACACACCTCAGTCAGGCTTTCCTGGAACAGAATGGAGGGAGGTACCCTTCCCCTCCCCCCTCAGCCTGGGGATCTGACCACTCCAGAGCCTGGGCTAGAGAGGAGGTACCCTGGGAGCAGGGGCCCGTCAATCACAGAGGCGACCAGCACTGACTCCAGGCCATTAGGAGGGAGGGCCGGCGCCCTGCTCACTCACCAAGCAGCCATCGGCAGGATGTTAGACGATCGCAGGGCGGCCATTCTTATGATTTATTCAAATACTCATTACAGTCAATCTATTTTTACACAGAGGTGAAGATGTGCACTGATAACGGTTAATCATTTATAATTCCATGGACTGGTTGGAAGCCAATGTACTATCAAAGTTGCAGCAGCAGCACAGCCTCTGCTACCCCCAGAAGCAGGATAGAAAAGTTGTGCCAGCCCAGGGCAGCACAGCCATTCAACTAACATTTACTGAACAGTGGCAATATTGAAGAAACCAAAAAAAACCAAACCCACTGCCATCAAGTCGAATACAACTCATAGTGACCCCTCCTTGGGTTTCCAAGGTGGAATCACTACGGAAGTAGCTGCCCCAACCTTCCTTCTGAGGAGTGGCTGGTGGGTTTGAACTGCCAGCCTTCTGGTTAGTAGTCAAATGCCTTAGGCACTATGCCACCAGAGCTCCTAATAGAGGCAGTGGGGAAATCAAGAAGTGAGAATCCCAGACTTGACCCTCCAGGAGTTTACAGCCTCTCTGGAGAGTGAATAGTGATGTAAGGGCCAAAGTGAGACAGCATGAGAATGTTGCAGGATTTCAGAGGAGGGAGATCACTTCTAGCTGACGTTATCAGAGAAGGTTCCACCAAGGAGGTTGGATTTAGGCCAGGTCCCTAGAGATGAGCAGATTTTACCAGATGGAAGAACCAAAATGAGCAAAAAAAGTACAGGTATAAGGTGGAGCTATTACAGGTATACCAGTTACCTTTGAGTTAATTCTGCCTCAGCAACCCCTGTATGTGTCAGAGTAGAATTGTGCTCCATATGGTTTTTAATGACTGATTTTTCAGAAGTAGATCACCAGGCCTTTCTTCTCAGGCACCTCTGGGTGGACTTGAACTGCCAACCTTTTGGTTAGCAGGTATAAGGTGCAATATTTCTTTTTCCCTCCTTCACATCTCCCCAGACATAACCAGATGTAAAAGGAAGTGTAAGCTACAAACTTGGGCCATTTTTGGAACTGACATTGCCACTTCCTTTTACTGCCTCCCAAGCTTAGCCCACAGATAATAATGGCTGGGGTCTGTGTGGGCCTTGCAAACTCAAGAACTTCCCTCTCCAGTACTCATGACATACGTAACACATCAAGTCCACCTTAATGCACAATCAATAAAGTCTAATTAAATAGGATGTCATATTACAGGGTTTCTTTGTCACATTCAGACATAATCTAATTAGAGTTCCCCTGTATTTTACATTCTGAATAGCTTATTGTTAAGTGTTTCCTTTCACAATGCATGGCTGTTAAAGATCAGGTTCAGGGCTGGTCTCTTAACCCATAACCTTATTGAGTCAGTGTAGAAAACGCCAATCAAAGTTACTTACAGTTCACAGTCCCTTTTCTGGTGAGCAGCATAAAGGACAGAGAGCCTCAGAATCCTGCTCCAGATTTCACCTGCTGATAAAAGAAAGTATCTTATAGACTCTGTATGATTCTGCTGAGAGTGAGAGCCAGGGTAGGGGATGGGGTAAACCCAGGGGTGGGCCTGGTTCAGGAGTAAGGCCAGGGTTGGCAGCCCTGTGTCCACAGTGCTGACTGGGAAAGTTTCCTGAGAAAGGGACTCCTGGTGCAAAATGATTACTGCTTAGAGATCTAACCAGAATAAAGAGACACAGTCATATTCTCCTTTACCTGCTTGGTACCTTGATTTCTTAAGAATTTCATCCCCTTCCCTAAAGGGATCCCAGAGGAACAAAAACTCGTGGTTGTTGAATGACTTGCACTGACCAAGCCAATAATCATTTACTGGTGCCACCCACCTGATGCAAGAGACCAAATAGAAGGACAGAGTAGAGGAGCCCTTGAGAAAGCTTACTACGGTCTCTCTAGGGGACACTGAAAACAAACAAACAAAATGGATCCTATTATCAATGGCAGGATCATGGAAGGTCTTGCTGTAGGAAGGAACTTTCAAGAAAAAGTAGAGTCCAGTTGGGCTGGGAGGAAAACATGCAGGGAGAAAAATGATGGGTCAAGATTAGAAAGATAAAAAATCTGATTACTTGAAAAAAATATATTTTATTGAAATACAATTTATGTACAGTGAAATACACAAAACTAAAGTGACATGGGTCAATGCATTTATTTTTTCAGTATTCCCTCCCCTCCCTTCCCACTCCTGGTAACCAACAAAGAAAGTTTCCTTCCATATATGAACCTTTTCTTGACTTTTTATAATAATGAACTAGTATTTGTCCTTCTGTGATTGACTTAATTCACTCAGCATAATGTCCTCCAAGTTCACCCATGTTATGTGGTGTTTTGCAGATTCTACGTCATTCTTTAGTGTTGCATAGTATTCCATTGTGTGTATGTACTATAGTTTGGTTATCCATTCTTCTGTTGATGGGTGTCTAGGTTGCTTCCATCTTTTTACTATTGTAAATAGTGCTGCAATGAACATGGGTGTGCATATATGTGTTCTTGTCCTGGCTCTCACTTCTTTAGGATATATACCTAGTAATTGGAATGGCTGGGTCAAATGTTATTTCTAATTCCAGCTTTTGAAGGAATCGCCATACTGCTTTCCACAGTGATTGTATCATTTGGCAGTCCCACCAGCAGTGTACAAAAGTCCCAATCTCTCTACAGCCTCACCAGCATTTGTTATTTTCTGTCTTGTTGAACTTTCCCATTAGTGCTGGGGTGAGATGGTATTTCATTGTTGTTTTGATTTGCATCTCTCTGATGGCTAATCATCATAGATATTTCTTCATGTATTTGCTGGCTGCCTGAATATCCTCTTTGGTGAAGTGTCTATTCATGTCTTCTGCCCCTTTTTTTAAATTGGATTGTCAATCAATCTTTTTGTTGTTGAGGTGTTGGAGGTTTCTATAAATTTGAGAGGTAAGTCCCTCCTTGTCAGATATGTTGTTGCTGAATATTTTTTCCCAATCTGTAGGTTCTCTTTTTACACTTTTGGAGAAGTCTTTTGAAGCACATAAAAATTTAGTTTTTAAAAGGTCCCATTCATCTAGTTTATCTTCAGCTGTTTATGTATTTTGGGTTAGGCTTGACAGTCTATTTATGCCATAAATTAGGACCCCTAAATCTGCCCCTGTTTTTTTCCTTGAGGAACTTTATAGTTTTAGGTTTCACACTTAAGTCTTTGATCCATCTAGAGTTAGTTTTTGTATATGGCGCGAGGTACGGATCTTGTTTTATTTTTCTGCAAATGGATACCCAGTTTTGCCAGCACCATTTGTTAAAGACACCATCTCTTCCCCATTTAATGGACTGCAGCTGACCATAGGTCAATGGATCTATTTCTGGGTTCTTAATTCTGTTCCCCTGGTTTATGTGTCTGTCATTGTACCAGTACCAGGCTGTTTTGACTACTGTGGCTGTACAGTAGGTAAAAAATCTGATGACTTTTAATTTTCTTTCTGAGACAAAGCAATAAAAAACAAATCAAGCACATATTTATTAGGTTCCATTCTATGATCAACACTGTTGGTGGAATGGGCCCTGTTACAAGGTGCCTTGTCATTGGTGAAATAAGATTACTCACATGAAACAACATCAGAGAAGACAAGACTATATATCAAGGAGTGTTAAATAGTGTGGTAGAGACTATATATTCTGTCTCTGCAGAGAAGCAAAGTCAGTGTGATTTTTTTTTTTTTTTTTTTTCAGGCAGAGGTAGAACTTGAATAGGGCCTGCAGGACTGGACAAGCAGAATTTGGCCAATGGAAGGGAGACAGAAGACATTCCAAGAAAGTGCAGGTATCTGAACAAGGGAAAAACAGGGCATGCCCTTGGACAATATAGAGGCTGCCTGAAAGAGACTAAAGCAGTTGTCATGTGTGTCAAAGAAAACTATATTCCACGGGGTTTTCAAAGGCTGATATTTTAGAAGTAGATCACCAGCCTTTCTTCTAAGGAGCCTCTGGTTGGACTTAAACCTCTAACCTGAAAGGTTAGCAGCCTAGCATTTTAAATGTTTTTATCACCCAGGGACTCCTGAAAGAGACTGAAGGGAGGCTAATGCTGAGTAAGAGACTAGGACCTGGGCATCCAGGACTTGAGTAAAAGAGTGCGACCTGGGCATCCAGGGCTTTCAGCATCAGGCAAGAGAGTTTAGACTGTGAGTTCAGGGGACCAGTGAAGGCTTTTCAACCATATGAAAGACATAGTGGAAGAGCTTCCCTCTCTCTTTAGTATTTTCTCTTTAATTAAGACACAATGACTTCTTAGAAGAGGTAGAATTCCACTTAGAAGATACAGGCATGTAGTGTGATGAAATGTGCTCACAAAAAGAAAATGTCTTTCTTGTTCATAATAGTGTCCACCATGCTAAGGCACTTCATCTGGGGCCATCCACTAACATCTGTGTGAAAGAAGCTTGTAGTTCATGCAAGTACTTCAGAGATAAGACTGCTAGCCTGTAAGCTTTGAAGGTAAGGACCATGTCTATGTGTCTTTATATCCCGAGACTTAGCAGAGGAGAGGTTTGTCAGTAAATGTCTGGTGAAATGTTAAACAGTGGACACTGGTCATTCCCACCAGGATTCACAACCAGCCCCTCAGAAACAGGCCCAGGCCAACAGTGGGCTCCAACCTGTATTATTCTAAACACTTTTACTGAGTGCTACATGAACTCAGGACAAGAAATCTCTAGATTAAATTACAGGGAGTTATATGCCCTATCTATGCCTTCTGGGAGCTATCCAGCTAAGATATCGGCAGGCTTGCTTATTCCATTTGTATGTGATACAAAGCTGAGAAAGATACCTGCTATGCTGAAAGACTGATTCAAGATTGTAATGAAGCTTTTAACAACCTGAAAGGATTGGCCCAAACTAAAAAGTCAGGTTTTTTTTTCTCCCCCTTTACCAGTTATTTCTTGCACAATAACATCATGGCAGTTATAAATGAAATAATTGTGAAAAATTGCCCACAACATCATCATTCCAAACCATCAAACCATCAAATTATTATAGCTTCTATTTATTTATTTTTTACAGATTATAGGAAACAAATTGACAAGAAGATATACACCAAGTTCTGTTCTTACATTAAAAAAAATTGCAAAAATACAGGATGGGATGACCCAATTTACTAGCAGCTAAAGAAAAAATAATAAGACTTGGGTTATTTCAGTTACATGTAAGCTTAGTATGAACCCAGGTTATATTGTTGCTTCCAGAAACCAATAAATGTGATCCTAAGTTGCATTAATAGTCATACAGTGTGGTAGTTAAGGTTATGGGTCACCTTGGCTGGGCCTGGTTGAGTGGCTGGGCAGCTGGATGTAGTTATTCCCCATGGTGAGATTGGTAATCAGCTCCATGGTGGAATCTATTGGAGCAGCTAAGTAGCTGCCTTAGGGATGTGGTCTACTTCCAGTATATAAGGAGAAGTTTTGAGAAGGGTCTCTGCAGCTTTTGGTATGCTTGGACCCTGAATGTAGCCTGCCGTGTTTCCCACCAATCTTGGACTCTATGTACTTGAATTGTAGCCTGCCATTTTGTTTGGTAATATTGGGACTGTGCCATTTTATTTGTCGACCTTGGGCTTGTTAGCCTCAGCAGCCAGCAGTGAAGAGACACCTCTAGCTCCAGTGGGTCAGGAGCAAGGGCTAGAACTGAAGCCGAAGGTCGAGGGGCTTTCACCCAGCCCCTAGAGCTTGGCACTTTGAACTCAGACTTCTAGCCTCCAAAACTGTAAGGGAATAAATACCTGTTGTTAAAGCCATCCATTTGTGGAATTTTCTGTTAGCGCAGTACTAAAGAACCAAAACATATGGTGTCCAATTAAGGGGTGAAAGATTCCCTCTACTTCGGACTTCTCATATCAGTTTTATAGGTAATTCTGGCATCATATTTTAAAAATATTGATAGTGATGAGTAGAATAAAACCGTGCCCAGTCCTGTGTCATCCTCATAATCACCAGCATGTTCAAGTCTATCATTCTAGCTATTGTGCCACTCCTTCTCACTCACGGTCTCCCTTGACCTTGCTGGTTCTCTGCTTCATCAAATATGTTGTTCTCCTCCAGCAATTGATCCTTCCTAAGGCATGTCCAAAGAAGGAAGGCAGAGAATGTTCTGTGTGATTAATAACTTTTTCTTTGACTAATTTTCAGGAATATATTGCCAGGCCTTTCTTCTCAGTCTGAAAGCTCTGCTGAAAACTGTTTTTGAAATACCAGTGGCATGGCTTCCAGAATCATAGCAGCATGCAAGCCACCACAGTACAACAAACTGACATATGGGTGGTATACTCCAAAAGTAGAGAGGACAGAATATCAGAATAAAAGGCCATCCATTATATTGAATAAACAGAGCACCTCTCTCTCTCTTTCTCTCTCTCTCTCTCTCTCTCATACACATACACTCTTCACAGTGTTCTTATTTTTCACCAATGGATAAGTCTTATTGGACTGGCTTCC